CCAAAGAGAGGGCTTGCTACAAATTTCGAACCCTACTAGCAGATTCTTATTCAAGATATAAACAGAGCAGCTATTTGATATTGAAAAAGACAAAAAAATTAAAGACATAAAAATTCTCAAGTCTCTTACCACTTCATTTCACAGTGTTCCACACATCTTCAAAATGTCTTTCGTCTATATACGCACTATTACTTTGAACTAATATATGCCTTCACACGAGTCCATAAAGGTAAGCTGATGCTGCTAAACTACGATCTTTCAAGATCACTCCATCAGAAGGAAAACCATTTTGGTCATACTATATTTACTAAGTATGATTGGTATTTGTGTATTGTAAACGTGTTGCGCTTGCTGGAGTACCAAGGTGAAGTGACAAGTCAGCAGATCCCTTCGCTCTGATGGAAAGGAAGGTCTCCAAGTGCCGCCAGCGGGGACGCGGGTGAGCCCGGGCTGTCCCTCCATGCTCTCCCCTGGCCTGCAGAGACAGCTGCCAGCAAACATCTGCCCCTGGTCCCGCGCCGGGCGATGAGTTGTTCCTGGGCTCCTCTGCAAAGCCACTTAAACACCAAGAGTACGGACTGGGGGTCAGCTGTAGACTATAAAGTGGGTATTTCCAGTGAGTATTCTGTGGAACACAAAACTGTTTGAGAAGGACGATACTAGTTTCATGATTATTATAGCAGCTTGTCCTTTTTTTCTTTTTTTTTTTTTTTTTTTTTTTTTTAAAGATGCATGGGTGCCCAAGAGATCTAACAAGGACAGTGTCTAAATTCTGTCCCATCCTAGCAAGGAAAACACTTGCAGAATTATCTGATTCTAGGAAAGTAAGAGGAAAAAAAAAAGTAATTGTACTTTCCACATTCTGCCTACATAATAACATTGTTTGTATAAAGTGAGGCATCTCTTTTTTTTTTTTTCAATTAAAAAAAAATGACAAATCTTTGGGCTGACTGGTCTTGATTGTCAGACTGAAAGCTTGATGCTGAAGAGCATGTGCAAAGGCTGCCTGCTACAGTCCCTGCAGCAGCTGTCTGCTGCAATAGCCCGAAGGACATGTATCATGTCAAAGACCTGGTGGGCAGGTGTCTAAAGAAACAACTCCAAAAACCAGAATTCCAAAAAGGGCCAAACTGGGGAAACAATCCTCTGGAAGAGGCAGGTGGCGATCAGATTCAATGTGTTGCTGCTTTCTCAGCATGCCACAGTACTCATCCGACAGCCCTGATATCACACAATTTTCAGTCAGTACCGACTACTTCTTCAATGGCTCAATACCTCTCGGGGTGTTTTTTTGGCATCCCACTGACTGGAATAGAAGTCGTGAACAGAAATAAGAGCAACTCATCAGCACTCATGCAGAAAATTAACGCTCTGGGGAAAAGCAACTAGAGAGCCACCTTTCTTGAGAGGCCTCTACCATGCTAAGCCTTCCCTATTCCACTTTTAACTCTGTGGAATTAATAACATTTCCTTTCCATTTCTCAGAGGTTGAGGTTCTCCTCAAGAAATTTATAAATGGAAATATTCTTTGAATATGTCTGGCTTGAAGCACATTAGTCGATGTCAGAGCACAATCATTCATCTAGCGGCAAGCTTCCAGAACGTGCCGCCTGTCATCTTCCACCGTTACCAAAAAAGGGAGCGTTCATAAAGTACACTTGGCCACCTTCAAACATTCTCAGTCCTATCCTGCCAGCTAGCGTACTGGGGGAACAAATGGCCATTATGTCCAGAAGAAAACGAGATGCAGGGGCTCCACAACCGACACTGTTAAATATTAGGGACATGAGATCACGAATCGAGCCCTGCGCTCGGTACACAACGCTTCCTTTAACACCTACACTGGGATACGTGACCCCGTCCGCCATTCTGGCAAGGTACAAGTTTTCACCTTCTTCCTCTTCACCCTCCTTCACTAGTTTTTGTCACACAAAACCAAACTTGGCCAAGATTTGGTCAAGCTCCGACTCAGAAATCTGAATAAAGTTACAGTCCTCAACCAAACGCACCTGCACCTCCCTGGGGCAGCCGGGTTCCGGGGCGAGCTCCCGCGGGGCTCCACCGGGCTGGCTCCAGCACAAGCCTCTCGGAGCCATACCCAGCCTTGGCTTTGCCACCTTGCCCGCTGCACCTCCAGCTCAGCACCTCTCTCTCTCTCCCCCCACGCCCAACTATTCCCACAGGCTACAATGCAATTTCCTTCCCCTCCTGCCAGCCCAGCAACATCTCCTGAGCCTCTGTTCTCCTTCGCACAAGGGACTTCTGCTGTACACTTCCACCAACAGAAGGGAAGCTGGAGGATAAGTCTCCGTTAACAACATCTTTCTTCCTAGGAGACCGAAGAAAGGCAAAATAAAAGCTTTGTGTAGACCACAGCTGTGTTTAGGGAAAAACAGATTCTTAAATGCTTTTTAAAAAGCAATTGGGTAGCCCAAGTCAAAGCACTATGATAGAAAGCAGGATGTTTCCATTTAATACCTGAAAGTACGCTGAAAAGGTTCTGAAGAACACAACAAACATGCTCCTCCTCCTCCCAAAAGCATAAAGGGCGGAAGTTGGTCGTAACAATAACATTAAAGCAGGGATAAAAGATAGGCCTGAAGTGGATGAAGTATTTTTTTGCACAAAAAGCACACTAACTACAACAGTCAGAGTGAACTTTCTTCATCTGTACTAACTTCTAGGAGCTCACATATTACAGTATTAAAAATCTGGACTGTACCTAACAAAGTATGCCAGGTGTTGAGCAAAGCATCTGCTTCCTTTAGTACGTTGATCTTGAAGTACAGCAGTTATTATGAAGTTATTCACATGTAAGACTCATGGACAGAACTGATTGGACCTCTATTCCTCTTCCTTTCCCATCCCTCACTTCCACTTCATTTATTCACTCAGTTCACTCAGTAGAATACAGGAGGGAACCCAACAGAAAAGCAGCATTTATCCGTTGTATAAGTCTAGATAAAATTGACAGCTGACAACTTTTCAAAATTCAAGTTAAATCAATATACTGCACACCACAGTACAGACTCATTGCTTATCTCCAAAATACAGATGGAAAATACAAAGCAACCTCAGTTTTTCTACTGTTTGTTACTCAGCTTCTGCAGGAACAATATGTGACTTAAGGTGTACACGTACCTTGCGCTCCCTCCTGCGCTTCTCAGTGCAATGTACAAGCCAGTTACGTGAATCGTTTGCGTACCTAAAGACTGCAACCTCAGCCCTTAAATAGCCTCTGCTTTAGAGGCTTTTGTCATACATTCAGAGCCACTGCTCTAAATGTATGACAAAGATGTCTTTTTTAAAGAGGTGTTGATTAAAAATAATCTCAACAATATATGACAATTCGAAGACATCAAGATTTCAATAATTCCAGTTATTGAAATCATAACTACAACTTTTCTATCAGAGTTCAGTGAGTTGCAAAAGCTAATTTTTCTTTCCCCTTCAGCGTTACATGGATAACAGTAATTCAGGGAAATTTTTTTACTGTCCAAGGGCAAGCAGCAAGCCGATAATTACTTATTTTATAGACATTACTATGCTCTGCAGCTTTCAAGAAATAACTAACTTGAGCAAGGATTTCAAAATTAAAAACTCAAAAATATAAAGCTAGAGACAAAAAGGGGCATAAAACAAGAAACAAAATACTGCCAAATGAATTGGTTTATTTTCATTTCCTTGTAGCTCCCAGAAATTTTCAGCAACAGATCAAACTAGTTGTTCTAAAAGGCAAAGACAACATGATAAATATAACACTGAGTACATGATAGATATCATTAAGATGTGTCTAAAAGACATTTTAGAACATAGTGAATACACATTCTCATTGTGTAATTACCTTTCATAATAAAAGAAAAGTTAACAAACAAATTAAGTTTAAGTAGAACAAAACAGGAGAATTTGAAGTTTTGCATGTCATTTCCTCCAGAATATTTGGTTCCTTTTCTATAAGGCGGCCTTCTAAGAGAAGCCGAGTGACCTGTGTATGATCAGCATTTCATCTAAATCAGCTTTCACTCTCTTGTTCCGAGAATCATCTCTAGGACATAGTTCCACTTTAAGCTAAAGGTGAAGGTTTGTTTTTTTTGTTTTTGGTTTTTTTTTTTTTTGGTATGTCAGTACTCCCAGCATCTGATATATTCTGTATTCCTTCAATTTAAAGCGTAATGAATAATTCTAAGCAGAAACAGAACCTCCCACATGCTCCTCCCAAGAGTGTACAAGTTGCACCAGAAGTTTACTTTCATCTGCTGCACTCCCTGGACAAATTAAAATCCTGATGTTCTCAACAGCATCTACCAGCGAGGATTAACATCACAGGAACAGTAATATGAACAGACATGGAAGTTAGCAGGCACCTGGTTATCTCATTCCAGCTATCATAACTGAAAAGGGAATTGTGTGTAGGTTTTGAATTTGTGACCTAACAAACAGCTTTTATACTCCCTTATTATCAAGTCCCTTTGCCATGATCCTCTCAAGGGGTTGAAAGAGGAAGAGCTCTTTATTTTCAGTGTAACAGATGACTGGCTTGTAAAGAAGAGATATTCATGTTGGAAAAAAACCTCAAAGCATGAGAAAACTTTAAATAACATCTCTCTTATAGCATAAACCATGGCAGGCATTAAATTCCAACTGCAAAAGAATTATATTGCTTCCTGAGACCCCAGACTTGTACAAATTGCTTCTAAGCAGCATTACAAATATCAGTCAGGACACTGCCAGCTTACTTTTCCAGAAATTCCCATTCAGCATTATCTCATTATTTCAGGGAGCAGAAGGTCAGCTCATGTCTTACTACAGAGCCTCACCTATCTTCTTAAAAGAAGTAACTCTATAGTTTTCACATTCCTATTCAGAGTAAGCCTTTCAAAAAAAGGATTACAGATGTTTCCTTTTTTTTTTTTTAATGGGCAACAAAAGCCACACTTGCAAAACTTTTTAAGCTAGTACCTATTTGATATTTTAGTTCAGATGTAAACTTCTGAAACATGGATTTCAAGTTGTAGATTTAATAACGCAGATTTCATCATCATCCTGTTTGTAAATAGCACTGGAAACCTCAATAAGCAGCACAGGTTTGTCTGCCAAAAATCACGTGTTTACAGCATAGTCTCTTGGCACATTCTGACTGGAATATTATAATGTCTGTCATCTTCAGTTATGAGAGTCACCACAGGCCAGTCCTCCTCTGGGTCATTGGGATAAAGTGTGATGAATTCATCAGTGCTATATTTATACAATCGATACACTTGGATGGTATACCGCAGAGCATAAGCAAGGAGAAACATTTCCACCTACATTGGAAAAAGCAGAAATATGATGTGTAAAATTAAACATACCTTTTACAAGATATTTCTCATAAAAATACTAAACTAATACATATCAGATGATCTTTCTGTACAAAGAAAAAACTATGAAGCAAATAAGGATGCATATACACGAGCATCTCTAGTTCAGTATCTTGATCATTCAAGCCATTCCTAACTTGCTGCACAAATACCTCTAAGATACCATGCCTTTAACACAGAGCTCTTCAGACCCAACAGTGGCACAGCAGGATATTAGTCCTAAAAAAAAGCCACTTTAAACAGAGAATCCCACATCCCTACTGCCACAAATAGGTTGGAAAGACATTCTCCTCTATCAGTTTTCATCCCATTAAGTCACTAAACCAAACAAGAAAGGGTTTCAGGCAACGTTCCTTTCCCTCTTAGAGGGTACTCTGAACACTCTAGCCAAATAAAAAGCAGATGGAAAGACCTTACAAAGCCTGTTGATACCAGAAGGAATTCAGAGAAGGAAGCTGGAAAATCTTCTATCACGTCTACTACAGTGGCAAGCATACCCTGTTCTAAATAACAAAGAATATCACTGAAATAAATAAACCTAGTCAGCACAAAACCAGGCAATATTACTTATTGAGTAAACGGGGCAGCAAAAAGGTCACCAATGAATCAGCTAATTTAACACTAACAACAACCCGTTTGTTTTATCTATACTAGAGTCATCAGATTTTTAAGCCAATAAACAGAAACAAAACATCACACTTCCATGTTTCTAGTGTCTATAATTAAGTAGTGAATTCAAATGCAGTACCACACTTGTAACGTATTCAATGGGATTTTTTTAAATGGATGTTTCTAAAATCTTTCAGACTATTCAGCTCATTAACCACTACATTTTGTTTTGGGACTTTTTTGTAATATGCATATCATTTCTGCAACGTATAAGGCAGTAACTGTCATCAGTTTATCAGAATTTACCAAGTATATGTACTACACGTGATCTTCTCTTCAGAATTCGAGTATTAGCTTTTATCATATTTTTAAAAAAGCTAACAATTAAGAGACTAATACAATGTTACTATTAATAGAATACCATACTTCCAAAGAATGCTACCCTAAGTGTCAGCTGCCAGACAAAAATCAATGTTTCAAAGGAAGGCCTTTACAGGCTCTTACTCCAAGCAAGCAGTTCTACTATTTTTTTCCCCAATGGAAGACCAGACGCTACACCATTAAATTTAGCCAGACCAACAAAAGCCGGGTGATTTCTTAAACCACTTGAAACCAAAACCTCCAAAACAGGAAAGTAACACCGTAAGAACAATCTCTCCTTACTTGTTCGAGGCCTCCACTGTGACCAATATGATTCAAGTGATTATGCATTAACTGACAAGGGTTGCTAGATGTATCCTGTGCAAACAGTAACCATGAGAAGACAGGAACTCTCCTTCCATTTTTATCATCATTGTATAATTCGATGGCAGTATTAAGCATCAAAAATTTGAGTGCTTCATAGAGACTATACTCCTCCTCTTCATTTTTAAACAATTTATCACAAGCTTCTTGTTTCTCAATGGGATCCTTGATTTCACTTATATTCTTCCACTATAAAAAAATAACACACACAACATATATCAATAGCCATCACCATGCAAGAGCTGTAAAAAGCCACTTGTGAATTGTCAAATGTTCAGAATAGGCACTCAGAATTTAATTTATGAAGGGCTTTGTGCCTTTTTAAAAACACTCAAGGTCAAGTTGAGTTAAGTCTGATTTTGCTTATATTAGTCCTTAGCAAAGCAAAAGAAGAGGATGTTGGAAATTGTTGCAAGGTGGCAAAACAAACGTTGTCATGGGACAACAAGCAGTAAGGTAATAACCTTTTTGTTTCCTGTATCATAAATCCTACATCCTTCATATTCTTTACATTTCAGTTACTCAGAACATGTATTCATCCCTGCCCTCAGAAAATGCTTGAATGCAGCCTTTCAAATATTCTCAAAAGCCTTCAAAAAAAGAGAATATGCATACACTGTAAGACAGGAACAACTGAAGAGTTTTTAAATAGGTTCCAGAGTTTCAAGAAGGAAGAGGATCAGGCTAAGTAACATAGTACAAACACTGAACGGGCACAATCATGTTCCCGTTACATTAAACTAGAAAAAAAAAAAACGTGTAAAACAGAGCAAAAACTTCATTAATTACTTCAGCATTATTCTGTATTTTTTTTTTTCGTTCCATGACCTGTTCAAGGTAGCAACAGCATTTATCCATAGTATACCTCATTCCTTCAAATGAATACAAGAAATAGAGGCAAAATGTTACTCTATTACATTAATTTCTTCAGTGAAGCCTGTCTAACTAATAGTTTTCTGCAGAGCTGCTTACAAATTAATTCCAGCATCAGGCTAATGCAAGCAGTGACAGACCAGAAAACTCCCACAGATCTGAACAGATATTCTTTCCTTGATTTTTTTGCAGTATACGTATAGAAAAGTGACTTTCACTAGTGAAAGCATTGTTATGCTAAATTCACCCCATTCAAAAATTTTTGTCATTTTTCTTATTTGCAAGTGACCAAGAATAAACAAATACTTTTCCAACCTTTTTCCTTAGAAGTATTAAATATTCTTTAATTTCATCACTTATTTCTCCCATCTTCCTGCCCAGTTTCTGTTTTAGCTGCCAGTGCTTGATCCAGTCATATTTGCTCAGCAAGTTTTCGGGAAGCTGGAAGTTGAGAGAAGGCAGCTTAAGTCAAAAATCTTGAAAGGAAAAGCCACCAACTTGCACATTATTATTTTATTGATTTTTTTTTTCCCCCCAAACATTTTGCACCTTAAAACAATCCCTCATATGTTCTTCTGAACAGATGTCATACTAAGATGACCGTAATTGAACACAACTGGCTCTTTACAATACTTGCTGGATAACAGTCAGAATACTGGTCTATTACTATTTCCAGATCTAACCAATACCTAAGCACTGGAAAAATTAATCACCCCCAGTTACTCATGGCTTTTTTTTTTTTTCCTTTTTTTTTTAATTAAAAAACCATCCAGCAGCTGATGACAGTGACTGTGTTTGAAAGTGTCCCTGAATCAAAAGAAGAGAAGGTTAAAGATGTGATGACATCCACCAGATAAGCCAGAAGTCTTGATGGAGTGCAAACTACTTTGTCCAGAACACACAAACTGTGTTTTCTTTTCAGAGAACATAATTAAAACACTGTGGGACAGGTTTTCTTGTAAAGAAGAAAACAACGTGGGAATTAGCTGATGCATCAGATCATACTTTAGCCTCAGAACTGCCTCTTTTACTGCTCACATGCTACACCTGCTCAGTTAAGAGCTTTTACACTTCTCTTGAAGAACATCCTGGCAGTTGCATGCCTAGCTTTTTACCCTCATTTATTAACCCATTTTATCACTAGAACTGGAAGAACAACTTGTGTCTCACAATGAATTAAATATTTGGCTAGAGCAGCACATATACCATCAGCCATTACCAGACAGTTTTCATTTTATCAGGACCCCAAATTAGTAATATGTTCTCTTTAATAGAAACCAAGTATTTGTCAGATATACACAGACCTTCCACCACCCCAGCCTGGCATCCTACACTAATTGGACATACAGAACTAAATAGGACATACAGAACTAAATAATCAAAGATTATATGCTAGTAACTTCTACAACTCGAAATGTGCATGTAAACACTGTTTTAAATCAAAAAAACCAAACCAAAACAAAAAAAACCCCACCTTTTTTAAAGTTGTACTGCTAGCTGTACATATCAGCAGAAGTTTACTTAACAATGATAGTGACCACAATGAGAAATTTTAAGATGGCCTCTAAAGTTATACAGAAAGATAATAAGAGCAGTGTGATTCTACCTGGACTGCTAGCCTACACCACAGAGCCTGCACCAGACATTCATCATTTACATTTCCAGCAGCAACCTGGACAACTGGAACCTTGCTCCTCTGAAGTGGGCCACTTCTGTATAGGCAGCTTCTTACATGTTTCTTCCATATTCACTGATACCACCAAATGGATTTTGTTGACGCAAGACAATTCCTGGAATATTTTTCTTCTACTCTTAGTAAGACACCTTGCTTTGCTTATCCATCAGTGCTCCATAAGAACTGTTCTTCATGTCAGGTTGGAGTTGCTCTTACACTTATTTTAAGTATCGTTTAAGACATGGGTAAGACACACATTCTGAAAAGCCTATAGCATCCAATTTGTTAATCCACTTTCTAGAGAAACCATATACGGCACACAAGAATACAATATGATAATTTTGAAAAGCTCATTTTTTTTTCAAATGTGCTGAGAATAAGTTGTCTATATTTTTTATTACCAGCTGTCTTGTGGGAAACCTCTTATTGCCGTATTACATGCAGTAAGAAGGAACCAAGAGGGCAAGATGAAGACAGACAAGTTATATTACAGTCAGCACTACAGTAACATTTAGACATTATAAACTGGAAACTAAGGGGACCTGGACTCAATTCCAAGTTGAAAGAATCACTGTAAACCTACAACAAAACTGAACACTACCAATTCTCAATTCAAGGGATATTGAAAAGTGAGCTTATATAGCATAACAGAGAAATCAGATCATAAAATTATCCAATAAGTTAGAACCAACACTCCTCTACTGTCAGAAGACCGGAGTTTGACACGTACCGAAGTAAAATCCTCACTCTGCAGCCAGCTTGGTAACTGGGTAGCTTGGCTTAGTGCCTGGAACAGAGTTGCTCTGAGTGCACAATAGTTATCACCTCGTACTCTCCTTATAGATGCAAACTTCTGAGCAACTGCTTCATATCCCTAGAAAAACACAAAATCCGAGTAACACGAAAGCATTAATAAAACATCTCAAGGTCATGCACTGGTATCATAAAAGATATTGGAATATTAGCATCCAAATGCTAATGCTATTTAAAAAAAAAAAAAAAGATTTGATCTACTACCCATTTTAGAAGTTCAAATGGCACAAATTAAGCTTTAGAAAAAAACTTAGAAAAAAATCCAAACATACGTACACACACAAGACTATAAATCTAAAAATATATCATGCTTAAAAGAAGTTTCAGCAATAGTTCATTCCATTTACCCAATATGTGTCACATGTAGCTTGGGTTTGCCTCAGGGAAAACTTGTGTTTACACTGAAATATCTTGACACATGCCTCAGCACATTTGTCCCCTCCCTGCTGTTCCCATACGTAGACTTTTAGCAGAAGCAGCAATGTTGAAACGTAACTTCTGAAGCTCAGTATGTCTCTTCAGCTAACCTAGCAAATTTCAATGCTCTGCACATCTGTATTTCCCTTACTAATCTCTTGAAGGTGACACACGGATCTTTTGATTTATGGAAAGTATTTTTTAGGCTTAGTCATACCTACCACTAAATTTTCAAATTGTGTTTAAAAAACCAAACCAACAAAAACAAGCCTAGCCAACTTTATGCTTGATTTTCTAACGCTAGCTCAAGATTAATATAAGAAAACTAGTCCAAAGCTCATCAAAAATAAGAATTCAGGAAAAAATTAAGAAAAGAAGAGCCTATTCATTAAAGCTCCCTATCTTAAAAATCATGCAATTCACCAGCTTCAGTTATTTGCCTTCTGCCAAAGAAGTTGGCTATCTGCTCTGCGATTTCAACAGCCCACAAAATAACCATTTTATGGTAATAAATCAAATTTGAATTGAAAACAGTAATGAAGAACAGTATTAATCAAAACCCTACACTATCAACAAGTAGCCTTACCAAAAAACACATTTTGAACGAGTACAAATGAAACCATCTTCCAGTTGTCAGCCACTTCTACTACCAGACACTGGAAAACATTGCTATTGCATTTTCTGTTTTAAAGATTGTTCCCACAGGAAATCACCTACTAAACATACAAATGAAAACAAAAAGCCCAACAAAATTCAACAAAAAGAGAACTGATACCTTTCTCATCCTTTTTGCTACTGGTGTATTTCCTCTCCATTCTTTTCTGCAATACTCCATGACGTCCATTTCAGGTGCAACACTTAGTTTATATTCTGTCAAAAAAGAATACGTAACATTATACTGAGAACTGTGAAACAGAACGACATAGAAAAAGCACTGAATTTCTAAATACACTCTATCACTTTAAAATAACATTGGTGCCGAAGGAGACTGGCAGCACAACCTATAGCTACTAAGTAATTTTTAGTATCAGAGGGAAAAAAATCCAGCTTGCTCTGCAAATGACCAGTGAACAAAAATAGCGATGCAGGCTAACAGAACAGAGAACACTCTGCTCCTCTCCTCTGAAAAAATATTAATTGGCAAATAGTAGAAATTAGTAAAGTACTCTTCATTTTCTTAGCAATCAGAAAAATGTTTCGCAAAAGTTTCTCTTCTTCTTTCAGCAGCCGGACTATGAGGAAGATAACAGAACTTTCTGAGTAAGCCAGAAACAATGGTAGAAAGACGAAATACAGTTTTCTCTTGGAATCCCAACAGCCTTCATTCCAAAACAGACAGTAATAAGGTTATCAACGGATCCCAGCAACAGATGCTGCTATAATCAATATAAACCAGTAATTTTCAAGCACACCACTTGTAACATAGGCTATATAACTGCTTTCCAAAGGATTCACATTCTCTTATAAAGTAACTATAGAAACACAGGGAAAAAAATACACTAAAAGCAACTAGTTTTACATAAAATTGATCTTTTTGTGAATTAAACTGCACAACATACTAAGTCATTATAAGTAACTTCTATTGCACACAGACATCTGTGCACAAAAATCCTTGGAAATGAGGGTGTCAAATCATCTCAAATTCGTGCTACAATGACTTGTAATACTGTATTGGAAACAAAGTTCAAATGTACCTGAAGAGCCTGTCTCACAAAGTAATATTTTCTCTCTCTCTATTTCTTCTGCGTCACGATACATGTCCTCCTCACTGCAACAAAAATCAACACATAATACATAGTTCATGTAACAGCACACGTCTTGTAGTAATTTACCCCTTCCTCTGTTTACAACTACAGGCAAGTACTTAAGTGTTTCTCCAAGTATTTTTTTGACTTAATTTGCTTTCCGTCTTACACATTTTCATAAAACCAACATGAGTTCTCAAAAAAAAAGTTAAAAAAAACCTCTCAAGTGTTCCCCTCTGTTATTTATGATACCTACGTTGGTAACAAATCACTGCCTGAATTTCTCTTCTGCTGGTTGTATGGAGACTACAGAGTACTAAAGTCCCTTTATATTTGTAAATTTTACAGCATAAATTTGCAAAAGATAGAAGCCAAAATGCCTATTTACTGAGTATATGAATACTAAAACCTATGCATGCAACTGGGAACGCTTTACTCACCAGAGCTTTGCATCTACGCTCCACTGGGGCTGAGCAACCTGCCTCGTAATGAGCAGAACACATGACAATGTCATGATGAAAAGTAGACAGCTATCTGCAGTTGGTTTGAAAGTTACAAACTCAAAGACAACAAAATTCTAAGTGTGATCCAAACGGCAGGCTAACTGAAATCCAGTCAAACATGTCTTCCTCAAATAATATGGGCTCTTTTGTCAAGGTATGCTGTCAAATGTCTCCATCTGAGCCTATATACAGACATTCTGAACTCAAGTTATGACCACGAGGGAGGAAATGATGGCCTAAAAGGATATTGTTTCTATGCACAGCCTAGCATAATCAAGAAGAGATCTCGAAGCTAGGGTGTGAACATTACTGGTGAGAATGGAGGTCCATACAGCATTCAAAAAATAGAATTGTAAATGGCACATTTCTTTAAACGTGATTCTAAGCGGCATTTGTAATGTAACTACATCTAGCAAATAAACTTTAAAATCACAGTTTCACAGCTAAAATGCTTCAAAAAAACCCATACAATACCAAAAATATTAGTAAATCATTTAGGCTTACCACTAAAAGGTTACATTGAAAGTTTATATTTTGAAGAAAGCACACGTGCAGAAAAAAAAAAGTGTAAGGTTATTATTCATTGCCCACTACTATTAGTAGCTTCTAATCTACTACACAAAAAAACCTAAACCACAGCATGCTTACAGAAGACCTGGCAGAAATTAAGGCAGTGACCCTGCCCCATCTTAAATTACTAAGAGAGGACAAGCAGTTAGGAAGAGCGCAAGAAAGGGTTTAAATGTAGGCATCTGGTAATTAGATTACTTTCATTAAACTTGAAAGAATACACTGGTAAATTATGGCTCTGTATTTCTTTTTCTTTATATCCAAACCAACTTACTTTAAAAAGGTAACATTTATAACCCATTTGCATATATTTGCCTTGAGAACAAAAAAAAAAATGTTTAGTATAAAGACAAATATAGGTTAATAATAGCATGAAATTGTCATCTACTGTGCAGTCATGTGAAAATACAGTTTAGTTTTTACTCAAGTTTCAAACCTTTAACTTTCAGACTAGGTTTCCTGGGTGCTCAAGTAGCTGCTTGAAATCTGATTTGTAAAAATACTACATAATTATTAATTGAAACAGAAACAACAGATGCAATAGATGTTAAACACAGTACTCCATAAAAAGAGTATAACCCGCTGAGACAAAAAAAAAAAAAAAAAAAAAAAAAAAAAAAATACTTACCCAAAGCCCCCATCCTTTTTACAGTGGTATAAAGACAAATATAGGTTAATAATAGCATGAAATTGTCATCTACTGTGCAGTCATGTGAAAATACAGTTTAGTTTTTACTCAAGTTTCAAACCTTTAACTTTCAGACTAGGTTTCCTGGGTGCTCAAGTAGCTGCTTGAAATCTGATTTGTAAAAATACTACATAATTATTAATTGAAACAGAAACAACAGATGCAATAGATGTTAAACACAGTACTCCATAAAAAGAGTATAACCCGCTGAGACAAAAAAAAAAAAAAAAAAAAAAATCATAGAAATACTTATCCCAAGTCCTCATCCTTGTTACAGTGTGGCAGTGGACAAACCCTAATTTCCATGCATGATCTTATTTCTCAGCAGAGATTAAGGTCTACTATGGTTTGTGAAGAATTTCAAGAACACTTAATAACCTCAAAAATACTATGAAAAATCCAAACAACTCAGCATCTGACAGCAGTGATCTCCAGCCTGCCTTATCTATAAGCTAAGTATTTAAAATATAAATCAACAACCTCTCCCTCTGAGTGTGAACAATCCTGCTTCTATAAGGGATCCCGTGGGAGGCGGCGGAGCAGGGGGAAGCATTACTTTGGGATACATCCTTGAATACATTTAGGTTATAAAGCACAAACAGAAAAAGTGCTCAACTTAGTAAACTAGTGAGGTTACACCAAACTTCTGTTTTGAGTCAAGTAAACAGCGTCATGTTCCTTCTGCAGATATTACCCCATCTTCTTTCTGGGAGTTCACAAAATAGAACCCAGAGATTCAGAACCTGACAGACTGACATCCAGCGTAAACAAAGTACTGCAATTTAACCGAGTTGTTTTGAAATCAAGGTAGCCAAGAGGTGAAATCCATCTGCCCAGGCACTCTGATTTCAGAGCTGAAAGTGCATCTTAACATTGTTCTAGCATAGCAACTCTTATGTAAATCTGTGGAAACAAGTATGTGGAAACTAAAGCCCTTCCCCATTAATCTTCACATTAATCCTTCTTTAATAAAATAACAGATGGAAAAGAATAATTAAATAAAAACATGCATGCCCAAAATAAAAAAAAAAATAGTGCATAGTATTGTGTGTAAACACTTAAATTGTTGAACTAGTAAATCAACCAAAGATACCAAGGAAAAAACACAGGATGTCAGATTTTACTTAAAGAGTATCCAGGGCTTTGCATTTTAAAAACAAACAACAAAAAAAATCCCACACCACCAAAGAAACCTAAACCCCAACATGTTAAGACAAGAGCAAGCAAAACTAAGCTGGAGAGAAGGGAAAGGACTACGGGCAAAATATAAATAGTTTTATACTAACAGATTTGCAGGACTAGAACTCCCAGTATTAAAGATACCATACAAAAGCAAAAACAAGGCTTAAAGTCTTCCGTTTATTAACATGAAGGGTTGAATGTTTAATTTTTTTATGTCAGATTAAACTCATTGCTAGATCAAACAGAATTAGTATGCCAAGTAGCAGCTACTTTAAAAATTCAGACGGATAGAGACCCTTATGTACCACACTTTTGCCAACATATGAAATGCACTTAATACATATTTATATGAATCTGTGTATTAACGTTAAATGTGCGTTAATATTAAAAACCTCCTACTAACATATTAAATTGCTCTGTAATTTAAGCATGAAATAACATTTTTAAAGCATCCTTGAAAACATGTACTTATTTTTAGTGACTTTTTCAGTAAGTCAGCACTTACTGTAGATTTTGGATGTTGTCTAAAATAGTTCACTGGCTACCCAGAGAAAGAGGATTAATTAGAAATCACTTTCTTCTCTTACTTTATTAACATATTCTTCAAAGACATAAAGTCACTCTTAATGTGCATTAATTTTGTTTTCAGAAGTTTGGAATACCTTTTTTTAAAACCTTCATGTTTATTTCTTCCTCCAGACACCAAATATTCTTGAAAAGACTTCTACTGTCAAATCTGAATCACACAACTAATTTTTTACTTCGGCTTATAGCAGGAGGTTTACAAAAACCAAACAAACAAAAAGGTGAAGTGTCAGGATTAAAAAAAGCCTTCTATGATTGTCAGCACTGCACCTAACAAAGTGTTCACAAGGTTAAAACCACGCTACCAGTGTATCTGCCTTCAATTCTTAGTTTCCCATGCTCTGCATCATACCCGTAAAAGCTTATTCCCTTAGATGGGGAAAGATGACCACTAATAAACTACAAAAAGAAGCAATTCATCTAAAGGGTGAAGGCAGCCTTCAAAGTTTAAGATTTGACATTTAGACCTATTTCATTAATACACTAACATATATGAAATTTTGCCAAGAAATTCACTTTCACGAACTGAAAGTACCCCTCCCTTCTACAGAAAAGCTGTCAATATATCAAAAAAATCCTCACCTGTCTTCAGATGACTCCACTGCTGAACAATTACTAGACACGGGTAGATATAGTTCACAGTTTCTAGATGCATCCTGATCTGTCACAAGTGATTTAATCGTATCTGTCTTCTTAGGTCTCCCAGTACTTCCGTATACATAGTCTTTTCTTATTTCCGATGCAGATTGCTCTTTCTGATCAGTAGCTGCCTTTGCTGAACCAAGTTCATTAGAAGGAACACCAACTTCCTTTTCATGCTTCATCAGCTGTGCGGCAACACTCTCTTTTTTCTGTGTCTGTTCTGCACCTGCAGAAAGGCTGGCTGGATCTGTCATCCACCCTTTAAAATTATCCTGGCTTTGAAGAATGGAGAAATATATGAAGAGTATCTCTCACAGAAGAACAAAAGCACATGTTTTAAGAAAATGACAATATTTCGACAGTTATGGTATATTCTGAGGATTCAGAAGGTCCTTAAATTATTCAAAAGCAGGAACAAAATCCAGAATAGTTTGCTAAGATAACACAGCACCCCATCTATTGTCAAACTCCTCTCCTCAGCAAGCCAATTTCATTTCTTACCTAGGCTAATCTGTGCCCACACTAGAACACAACCCATGCTAGAATTCGCGCCCTGACTGAACACTTGCTCTTCTCAAGGGGTGTTATCACCTAGAAACCTGAGGATTAACAGAATTTCTCCATGAAAGCTGTTTCAGCCCTGCAAGAGGAGGAGTTTTACAAACTCACCCGGCGCTCCATGAAACTTCCCGTTGCACCGGGATTATTGCTTAATGCAAAAATTTCCTTCCAATCTTTGTTCCTTCCAACACGATTTCCAAGTTATCAGGACAGGACTTTCTACAATCCATTCTAGCAAGTTCTCCAAAGGCTTAGGATGTGCCCATAGGGTAAATTTTCAGGGATATTTATCTTAAATTGATACATAACCCTCCCCAAAAATTATGGGTTGCTCTGCAGTTGCCACATTCATGTTCTAGACAATTCTTACCACTGCTACCCAGGCTGGTCACCTCAGAACGGACAGGCTTAATAGCCACTATAAACACCTTAAAACTGTGCAACGCGTTTTTGTCCTCAGCTTAAAGCCTCCCACCTGCCACAAACCCTCCTCTCCCCGATGTCACTGCCCTTCTGCATTCCAGCCCCGCTACCTACCGAGCCGTCCCGCAGAACGACGCTGAGGACGAGCGCCGCACACCTCGTCCCCGTTACCCCCAGCCCCGCTCCCCAGGCCCGGGCGCCCCAGGCTCCGTGCCGCCCCCCGCCACCCCTCCCCGCGCTGCCGCGCCGCGCAGGGCACCCGAGGCCTCACCTCTCCG